AATTCAGGGAAAGAATTAGGACTTCAGTTTTAGACCTATTAAATTTGAGATGCCTCTTTGACATCCAAGTGGAGATACTTTTGTAAAGTGTTGGATATATGAGACAAGTTTTTTTTGTTTTTTTTTTTTTCTTTTAAGACCTAAAGGATGGGGGTGCCTGAGTGGCTCAGTCAGTTAAGCATCTGACTCTTGATCTCACCTCTGGTCTTGATCTCAGGGTTGTGAATTCAAGTCCCATCGTAAAAAAAAAAAAAAAAACGATGAGGACAGCTGACCTTGAAAGAATGGAATAAAGAGCACTGTAGCCAAAGGGAAGGGAATATGAGATTCTAAGGCAGAAAACAGTTTGGCTTACTGAAGACACTGATAAAAAGGCCAATGTGCTTAAACCCAGGAGACTATACAACCAGAATGAAAACAATAAGAAATTATTTTTTAAAATACACAGTCTCATTATTATACAATAACAAATAATGAATACACATTTTGGTACCTAAATGCTACAGACTGTGTCCCTGACAAAATTCATATGTTGAAGCCCTAACCCTCACTGTGACAGTATTTGGAAACGGGACTACTGGGAGGTAATTAGGGTAGACGAGGTCATGAGGGTGAGGCCTTCATGATGAGTTAGTGCCCTTACAATAATCCTTTTAAGAAGGGGAAGAGAAAGATGTTTCCTTTTCTCACTCTGTCTCTCTCATTCTCTTTCTCTCTCTCCCTGCACCTGCACAAAAGAAGAGGTCATCTGAGTACACATGAATCTGAGTACACATGAATCGAGGGCAGCCAGCTACAAGCCAAAGGAAAAGACCTCAGAATAAAAGCTATCTTGCCCCTTGATCTTGGACTTCCCAGCCTCTAGAACTGTGAGAAATAAATTTTTGTTGTTTGAGCCACCCAGTCTATGATATTTTGTTATAGCAGCCCGAGCAGACTAATATACTGGAATTGGGGTTACACTAAACAAAAAATGTAAAATATGTGGATGGTTTTGGAAACAGGAGGTGGTTATAAAGAAACTGCTAGTGAAAGCCTAAAGTACCTTAAAGAAACTATTACTAGAAGCCTCCAGATCCTTTGAGGATGCTGTTGGTGAGGGTTTGCAAAATGATAAAACCTTACTGAAGACTAGAGGAAAGGAAATCCTTGCTACAATAGAAGCAGAAATTATAATAACACTATTATCTGCAGTTATGTGAAAATTAGATAATAAGGAAAATATTGAAGGTGCCACATGGTTTCTTCTTGCTATTTATAGTAAAAATCTATATTGCTACATAGAGGAGAGGGCTATTAAACAAAAAGAATTCAGGACTTGATGATTTTGAAAATTCAAGCTTCTCAAATGGGAAGAGATGCTAAAATTAAGAAATGGCCTTTGAGCAAAGACCACATCCAGGGCACTGCCAGGAAAAAATGGTCCAAAGATGAGGCCCAGGGTGTGACAAATCTTTTGTTAAAGATCTCAGATCAGGGGCGCCTGGGTGGCTCAGCTGTTAAGTGTCTGCCTTCGGCTGAGGTCATGATCCCAGGGTCCTGGGATCAAGCCCTGCATCAGGCTCCCTGCTCCGCGGGAAGCCCGCTTCTCCCTCTCCCACTCCCCCTGATTGTGTTCCCTCTCTTGCTGTGTCTCTCTCTGTCAAATAAATAAATAAAATCCATAAAAAAAATTTAAATTTAAAAAATTTAAAAAAAAAGATCTCAGATCAAAAGTGATGCCTCAGAATATAGTTCGAACAGAAAAAAAGCCCTCTAAAGAGAAAAGGGCTGCGCCTCACAAATCCTCTCATGATTGATAAGAACTACAAGGAAGCTTAAGAATATTGTCCCTCAGCCATCTCAGAAAAGACCCAAGGAAGGAGAGCTTATCTCAAAGGGATTTGTAGGTGTAGCTTTTTGTCTAATGGAGTGACCTAAGATGATTCACAAGAGACCCACAAAATTCTTAAGAATAATCTACAGAGAGCATTCTTGAGTATTAACATTCTATTTTTTACCTCGTAGGTGGTTTTGATCACAGTGAGGAGCTCTATGAGAATTCACTAAGCTGTATATTTATGTTTTGTGTACTTTTCTGTATTGAGTTTTAATACCCAGCACTGAAAATGTTTTGACTTTAAAAAAATGCTGGGTTCAACCCACTAACTTGATTCCATCATTTCCTAGCAGGTCACAACCCACAGACTGAAAAATCTAGGGTAAGAGCTGTGGTAGTGAAAGGAACTGGAAGGAAGAAACACTGGGAGTCTGCAGTTAGAATTGACAGGACACAATGAGGGACTGGGAGTCTGCAGGTAGAATTGACAGGACATAATGAGGGAATGGAATAGGGGAAAAGGCCGGAGAAGTGTCAAAGATGATTTCATGTTTCTACTTTGAACATCTGAACGGATGGAAGTGCCACTTACTGAGACGAGGAAACTAGAAAAGGAACAAGTTTAAAATTATGGGAGAACAGAGTTAAGAGTCTACATCTGAACATGTTAAATTTGGGACGCCTGAGTGGCTCTGTCGGTTAAGCGTCTGCCTTCAGCTCAGGTCATGATCCCAGGGTCCTGGGATCGAGCCCTGGCATCGGGCTCCTTGCTCAGCAGGGAGCCTGCTTCTCATGCCTGCCGCACCCCCTGCTTGTGCTCTCTCTCTGACCAAAAAAAAAAAAAAATCTTTAAAAAAATAAAAAATAAAAATGAACATGTTAAATTTGAGATGCCTATTAAAGATACAAGCAGAGATCCAAGATGCCAACTGGATATGGGAGTACAGAGGCCATCACTGGTCCCCCTCTTCCCATAAGTATATTACTTTGTTTTTTTTTTCCTCACAGGACTAATAATTACCTGAAATTATCTTCATTTTTTTCATATTGTCTGTCCCAAACTAGAAATTTAAGCAAAAATTTCACATCTCATCTACTTATTGATAGCTTGTGAATGAATGCACTAACATACTTAATTATTTTTCCCTCTTAAATGTCCTTTTAGGTCTGTCTTTGTAGTTTCCTACCACAAAAGAAATGAAATATATTTCCTTATCCCTTGATTCCAAGTTTGCCATGTAACTTGCTTTGGTCAACAGCCTAAGTCTCAAAAGGCTTTACATGTTGCAAATTACTCTCTTGTCCTGCTGTCACCATGAAAAGGACATGCCAGGGCCGGCTCTCTGGTCCCAGGAGGAGGAGAGACCAACTTATAGCCATATGATTAACCCAAATAAGGTCTGAGCTCAGCTTAGATGAGCTGATTCCCAATCTACTAACTTGTAAACTATAATAATAAATAATTATTTTTTTAAATCACTGAGTTTTGGCATAGTTTATTACAAAGCAATAGCAAATTGATATACTGCTATATTCCAATGCCTAGAACAGTGCCTAGAATATAATGAGAGCTCAAATAATATTTTAATTGAAAAGGAAATGGAGGGCGCCTGGGTGGCTCAGATGGTTAAGCGTCTGCCTTCGGCTCAGGTCACGATCCCAGGGTCCTGGGATCGAGTCCCGCATCGGGCTCCCTGCTCAGCGGGGAGCCTGCTTCTCCCTCTGCCTCTCTCTCTCTGTCTCTTATGAATAAATAAAATCTTAAAAAAAAAAAAAAAAAAAAGGAAATGGACAAGGAATAGCCAAAGAGGTAAGAAAAACCAGGAGAATGAGGTGTCATGAAAGCCAAGAGAAGAGTATGTTTCAAGAAGGAAGTGGGCAAAGGGATTAATGGTGCTGAGGTCTGTTAAATTAGGATTAAAATGTATGTACTGGATATGGCAACATGGTGTTCAATGGTAGCCTTGAGAAAGGAGGGAAGCCAGACTGGAATGGACTGAGTTTAAAAACGTAGGAAATAGGGCGCCTGGGTGGCTCAGTTGGTTAAGCGACTGCCTTCGGCTCAGGTCATGATCCTGGAGTCCCGGGATCGAGTCCCGCATCGGGCTCCCTGCTCGGCAGGGAGTCTGCTTTGTCCTCTGACCCTATCCCCTCTCATGTGTTCTCTCTCTCTCAAATAAATAAATAAAATCTTTAAAAAAAAAAAACGTAGGAAATAGCTTTAGGAAAGAAAATTCTCCTGGCCAAAAACTGGCAATGCTCCTCCCATCATTCTTCTCTGAAGATTTTTTTCCTTTCTAATTATTTGATCTATCAAACAACCTGGGATATTTTTCCTAGAGAGAATAGGAATGTTGAACTTTTGAGTATAATCATTTCCTTTCTTATCTAATAGTACACAGCAAGGCACTGGTTCAGGGTCATACAATTAAAAAAAAATCCCATCTGCGCTATCTCATGCTTTAACTAACTGTCTAAGGCAAGCCAATCATTGATCATCAGTCAAAAAATTAGGATGTAAACCTATAAAATGCAAATCAACTATGAAATTTAAATCTAATAAAACATTATGGAATGACAGATGATGGATTCTTGGTGAATTCAAATACTAAGAATTAAATTTGGCTATATAAACATATTACCAACAGCATGCTTTAAGTGTCATCATATTCAGAACTTAGAAACCTCAATTTATAATTCATGATTAAAGGGGACAAGATTTATGTTATTTTTCCTATTTAAATTTCTTGGCATGAATCATTCTAGGTACTTCCCATATGATGTCTTATATATAATACTTTCTCTAAAACTAAACCCTTTGTGGACTATTTCTTCAATTTAATTCAAAAACCATTTTAGGGCGCCTGGGTGGCTCAGATGGTTAAGCGTCTGCCTTCGGCTCAGGTCATGATCCCAGGGTCCTGGGATCGAGTCCCGCATCGGGCTCCCTGCTCCTTGGGAGCCTGCTTCTCCCTCTGCCTCTCTCTCTCTCTCTCTCTGTCTCTCATGAATAAATAAATAAAATCTTTAAAAAAAAAAAAAAAAAAAAAAAAAAAAAAAAAAAAAAAACCATTTTATATTTTATATATCTTGGCATTGTCCACAGATCCTGAATAAATTCTTGTTGTTTCTCATCACATGCATACAACTACCTATAGACCTTAAAATTTTTTTGACATACCATATTTTTCCATGTGCTCTTTCCCAGCATACGCAAACATCTGAGGAGTAACTGGTTTGGCAGACAATCCATATTTATTGATCAGGACCTCAAGATGTTTATCAATTGGGTTGGTCCTATGTGAAGACTAAGAGAGAGGGAAAAAAATCAGTAAGTACTTGATATGATAAGGGTCTCATTCAACTCTTACACTGTAATAGTTGCATATTCTAAGACATATGCATATTCTAATCTGAAAGACATATGCATATTCTAAGCACATAGTAAAGCAAAAATAAGCAATGTGAATAAAATCAGTCAGGAAATGCTTTGCAAGGAAACATGGAAAGGAAAAATAATCAAGTGAAGTATTAATTTTTCATGAAATATTTATAAAGAATCCAGTAGGGTGTGCTCCTGGATAGCTCAGTCGATTAAGCGCCCAACTCTTGGTTTCAGCTCAGGTCATAATCTCGCAGTGTGGGATCAAGCCAGCATGGGGCTCTGCACTCAGCATGGAGTGTGCTTTGGATTCTCTCTCCCTCTCCCTCTTGCTCTCTCTCTCTCAAATAAATAAATAAATAAAATCTTTAAAAATAATAATAAAATAAAAATAAATAAAGAATCCAGTAGGTACCCATAACTACTCAAGGTGCTGGGGATAAAATAGTGAACAAAACAGAGAAGGCCTCTGCTCATCTGGCATTTACATCTGTGGCAGGGAGGGGGCAAAAGGTGATGAAGATAAAAATAAATTAAAATGTAAATAGGGGCGCCTGGGTGCCTCAGTCAGTTGAGTGTCTGACTCTTGATTTCAGCTCAGGTCATGATCTGAGGGTTGTGGGATCAAGCCCTGCCTCAGCTCCATGCTCAGTGCAGAGTCTGCTTGTCCCTCTCCTGCTCCTCCCACTCACTTACTCTCTCACTCTCAAATAAATAAATAATTTTAAAAATTTAAATAATAATGCTATAAAGAAGAATAAATCCAAGTAAGAGAATAAAGACTGAAGGTAGGAAGTGCTACTTTATACACAACTGTCAGGGAGGTCTCATCGACAAAATGGTGTTTGAGCAGGAATGTGAAGCAGTAAGGGGTAAGTCATTTGGGCAACCTTGGGGAGGAGCATTCTAAGCAGAGGGAACTGCAACAAAAAAGATCCTAAGGCAGGAGCATGCTTGGGTGTTTGAGAAAAGAAGTGAATTAAGATTAAAATAAAGCAATATTCAGAGAGTATAATCACCTTTGTTTCCGTGGTTCTAGAGTACAAGAACATAGTTCCTACTACTAATATTCCACAAAGGGAAAGCTAACAGTTTCTTCTCAGTTTACCTACTAGATTATGAACTCCCTGAAGTCATGAATTCTTTTTCACACACCTTTGTACAGATACCCAATGCCTAGCATATGGACTGCCACATAGTAAACATTCTACAAATAATTGTTGAATGAATAAATGAAGATTATTTTTTGGTGCACAAGATAAAAAATATTCTGCTTGAGAAAAGAATGATAAAGATATCTGTTGAATAAGAAAAAAAAGATATATATTATAAATCCTAAAAGCAAGACAAAACACCAGAGATACAGTTAATGAGCTTATAAAACAACTAATGTGAAATTACCAAAAAAAAAAAAATCTCAACAGAAAACAAAGAAAAAAAAGGAAAAGATATTGAACAAAAAGAAAACAAGTAGCAAGACAGTAGATTTAAACCAGTGTTGTCCTAGGAAATGCTTAATAACAGGCTCACAAGGGTGGAAGAGACCTAACTGATATATTTACCAAATTTTGTTGTGTAAATACTCCTACCACAGCTAATTTAAATCACTGAAAGCAAAGATGAGAAGAGATATGCACAATCAAATCTTGCAAGCTAGTATGAGACAGAGGTATCAGTTTCAGCTAACCACTAATTTAAACCCTATATATCAATAACCATATTAAATGAAAAGATATAAAAAGCCCAATTAAAAGGCAGAGATTGATATATTGCTAAAAGCAAGACCCAGCTATATGTTGCCTACAAAAATCTAATTCAAAAACCACAGTGAAATATCACCTAACACCTGTTAGAATGGCTATTATCAAAAAGTCAAGAAATAACAAGTGTAGGTGAGGATGTGGAGAAAAGGGAACTTTTGTGCTCTATTGGTGCTCATGTAAATCTCAGCCACTATGAAAAATAGTATGGAAGTTCCTCAAAAATTTTTTTAAAAACTACCATATGATTCAGCAATTCCACTTCTGTGTATTTATCTAAAGAAAACAAAAACACTAACTCTAAAAAATATATGCATCCCCATGTTGTTGACTGCAGCATTATTTACAACAGTCAAGATATGGAAACAACCTAAATGCCCACCAATGGATGAATGGATAAAGAAAATGCAGGGTGGGGGCACCTGAGTGGCACAGTCAGTTAAGTGTATGACTCTTGGTTTCCGCTCAGGTTGTGACCTCGAGATCATGATCTTTGGGTCATGAGATCAAGGCCCACAGTGGGCTCCATGCTCAGCAGGGAGTCTGCTTAAGATTCTCTCCTCTCTCCCTTTGCCCCTCCCCCCTTCTATCTCTCTCTCTCTCTCTCAAATAAATCTTTAGAAATAAAAGAAAAATGCAGGGGGGCATATATACATACATATATATATATAATGGAATGTTATTTGGCCATGAAAAAGAATGAAATCTTGGGGCACCTGGCTGGCTCCGTTAGTAGAGCATGCAACTCATGATCTCAGGGTTGTGAATTCAAGCCCCATATTGGGTGTAGAGATAACTTAGAAAAAAATAAGAAGAGGAATGAAATCTTGCCATTTATGATAACATGGATGGAACTTGAGACATTATGCTAAGTGCAATAGGTTAGAGAATGACAAATACCATATGATATCACTTATATGTGGAATCTAAAAAAATAAATAAGGGGCGCCTGGGTGGCTCAGTGGGTTAAGCATTTGACTCTTGATTTCAGCTCGGGTCATGATCATGAGATTGGGCCCTGTGTTAGGCTCCACATTCAGCAGGGAGTCTGCTTGAGATTCTGTCCCTCTGCCTCTGCCCCTCCCCACCACTCGCACATGCATGCATGCTTTCTCTCTTTCAAATAAATAAATCTTTAAAAATTAATTAATTAATTAAGCTCATAGATACAGAGAACGGACTGGTAGCTGTCAGAGGCAGAGGGCAGAAGGTAGGCAAAATAGATGAAGGTAGTCAAAAGGTACAACTTCCAATTATAAAAAAGTCATAGGGGCAGTGCCTGGCTGGCTCAGTCAGTACAGCATGCAACTCTTGATCTCAGGGTTTTGAATTCAGGCTCCACACTGGGTATAGAGGTTTCTTAAAAATAAAATCTTTTAAAAAGTTATGGAGATATAATGTACAACATGATGACCATAGTCAATAATACTGCATTGTATATTCAAAAACTGCTAAGACTGTAAATCTTAAAAGTTCTCATCATAAGAAAACAAGTCTACCTGCCTCACGACCTTGTGTAAAACTGACAGGACTAGAGCCACTTTAAAACAGAGTTGGGGGGCGCCTGGGTGGCTCAGTTGGTTAAGTGACTGCCTTCGGCTCAGGTCATGATCCCAGGGTCCTGGGATCGAGTCCCGCATGGGGCTCCCTGCTCAGCGGGGAGCCTGCTTCTCCCTCTGACCCTCTCCCCTCTCGTGCTGTTTCTCTCTCGCTCACTCTCTAATAAATAAATAAATAAATATTTTTAAAAATTAAAAATAAAATAAATAAATAAAACAGAGTTGGAGCAGACATTGTAGAGAAACCACCTTACTTGCTTTTGTTTGAACTGGCTGAAACCTTCTGGACAAAATGGTAATTATGTTAAGCAATTGTTTGAGAAGTCACCAGGAGAACAGACACCCTGATTACAAGACTGATTGTTAGGGACTTTCTGGGGAAAAAGTCAACAGTTAATGTATAACCCAGAGTAATTTGGCTTGTTAACATAAACAGAAAACCTTTTTTCCCCTTTCATTCAACTCAGGTAATTGCTCCCTACCTCTTCCTCTAAAAACCTGTTGCTTTCACCCGACAAGTGGGAATCCTATTTGGGTATTTACTTGAATTTGTCCTCCCCACACTGCAATTCTTTAATCCCAAATAAATGCTCATTTGCCTCTCAAAAAAAAATCTATAACTATATTTGGTGACAAACATTAACCAGACTTATTGTGGTGATCATTTCACAATATATGCAAACATTGAATCATTATGTTGTATACCTGAAACTAATATAATTGTGTATGTCAATTATACCTCAATTAAAAAAAAAACCTAAATCAAACATAAAGACAGAAATAGGCAAAAGGATGGGAAAAGACATACTATTCTAATTCTATTCAACAGAAAGCTGAAATGCCTATGTCAATAACAGACAAAACAGATCTAAGATCAAGGAACACTACATGGGATAGAAGAGGGTTATCCCACTATGATGAAAGGGTCAATTTAAATGAAATGGACAAATTATTTAATGGGTATTATCAAAGCTCACTTAAAAAAAAATAATAACCTAAATAGTAATATATTTCCTGAAGAAACTGAACTACTGAACTTAAAAGGTTAAAAACCTTCCTTCCCATAAAGAAAACTCCAGACCTAGATGTGGTTTTTAATAATTTTCAAATAAAAGTTATCAAGGTATTTATCATTTACTAAAGAAAAAAATCTATTTTTCATGTGTCATAAATGTTAGGTACTCCCATTAGGGACTCACCTAATAATCTTATTTTGTATTCTTCTCCAGCTGCCACCCACCAATCCCGTTTTTCAAACTATCCCTTGAACATATTATCTTTTTTTTTTTCTTAGTAGGCTCCGTGCCAAATATGGGGCATTGAATTCACAACCCTGAGATCAAGAGTCGTATGCTCTACCAACGAAACCAGCCAGGTGCCCCTGAACATACTGTATTATGTTCATTCCAATATCTATGACTTGGCTCACGATGTTTTCTCCCATACATAGAAAGATCTCACCTTTCCGTATCTTTAATTATCTTTGTTTTATTATTATAATTATCCTTACTTATATAATAATTTCATGTAATTATTATCTCTTATTGTCTTTAAGATTCAACCTAACATTTCCCACTTCCTTTTTTTTTTTTAAAGATTTTATTTAT